GGAGACTGAGAGTTGAGGCGCTGTGTGGTGGGGGGTTGTCACGAAACTATTTTTTCCCGCCAATTTATTAAGTGCGGCGTGGTTGCCATGGAGACTGAGAGTTGAGGCGCTGTGTGGTGGGGGGTTGTGACGAAACGATTTTTTTTCCCGCCAATTTATTAAGTGATGCGTGGTTGCCATGGAGACTGAGAGTTGAGGCGCTGTGTGGTGGGGGGTTGTGACGAAACTATTTTTTCCCGCCAATTTATTAAGTGCAGCGTGGTTGCCATGGAGACTGAGAGATGTGGCGCTGTGTGGTGGGGGGTTGTGACGAAACTATTTTTTTCTCCCACCAATTTTTAAAGTGAGGCGTGGTTGCCATGGAGACTGAGAGTTGAGGCGCTGTGTGGTGGGGGGTTGTGACGAAACTAAATTTTTTCACGCCAATTTTTAAAGTGAGGCGTGGTTGCCATGGAGACTGAGAGTTGAGGCGCTGTGTGGTGGGGGGTTGTGACGAAACGAATTTTTTTTCCCGCCAATTTTTGAAATGCGGCGTGGTTGCCATGGAGACTGAGAGTTGAGGCGCTGTATGGTGGGTGGTTGTGACGAAACACATTTTTTCCCGCCAATTTTTGAAGTGCGGCGTGGTTGCCATGGAGACTGAGAGATGAGGCGCTGTGTGGTGGGGGGTTGTGACGAAACTACTTTTTTCCCGCCATTTTTTTAAAGTGAGGCGTGGTTGCCATGGAGACTGAGAGAGATGAGGGGGTGAGTGGTGGTTGCTGCTGGTGGTGGTGGTGGTCAGTGACGATTCTCCGAACCGTTCCTGTGCCTCCTCCCCCAAGGGTCGACTCAGCCTCAGATGAGTGAACCTGGTGTAGCGTAGTGAACATCGCCAGCACTGGTGGAGAGACAAAGGCGGCCGGGCGTGGGTTGCTGGCCACCAACCCCCCTCGTGTGCCGTTCCGGCCTTCATAGGCGCTGCTCGCTGACGGCACTTGCCCCTACAGCCTGTGAAGGCTACAATGGTGGACCCTTTGTCTTTGCGGTGAGCGTGGTCACATGACACCCTTCCTCGGTTGTGTGAACATCTGAGGACCTCCCCCTGCGTTTGCCAGGAAGGGTACAAAGATCTATTCTTGATTTTATTTTTTTGGCGTTTCACGCCAATTCAACGTTCACCGGATTTGGTTTGAATTCTGATTGTGCGTGCATGTTTATATTTTAGTTTAATTTTAAAAAAAAAAAGCTGTGTGTCACATCAACGCCGGCGGCGTGCGCGACAACGTTGATGTTCCGACGTTTCGGGGTCAACGGCCTGTCGCAGGGAGTTGAATTTGAGTGGGTGGGCGAGATGTTGACTACCTCGACTGGTCTACAGGAGGTCGCGGGTTCGATCCCGACCTTGACGACGCCTGCTGATGCTGTAGATTTGGAGTCTGCGTCTCTCTCGCTCATCATCATCACGGTGGCTAAGAGATGGTAACTACCTCGCCTAGTATACAGGAGGTCTGTGTCTCTCTCTCTCATCATCATTACGGTGGCTATGAGATGTTAACTACCTCGCCTGGTCTACAGGAGGTCTGTGTCTCTCTCTCATCATCATCATCATGGTGGCTATGAGATGTTGACTACCTTGCCTGGTCTACAGGAGGGCGTGGGTTCGATCCCGACCCTGACGACGCCTGCTGCTGCTGCTGTAGATTTGGAGTCTGCGTCTCTCTCTCTCATCATCATCATCACAGTGGCTATGAGATGTTAACTACCTCGCCCGGTCTACAGGAGGTCGTGGGTTCCATCCCGACCCTGACGTCGCCTGCTGCTGCTGCTGTAGATTTGGAGTCTGCGTGTCTCTCCCCGTGGTCGCGTGGACTCGTCTCGGGCCCGCCCGGGTTAATCCCCTCCACGTCTAGAATCAACATCACCACGTGTCACAGTGTTTCACTGCTGCTGTGAATTTCCACGTGGTGATGATGGTGATGACGCTGACAAGTCACGTGGTAGAGCTGCTCTCATTTGTCATGGTCAGGGTCAGGCTTACTGAACAAAGAGCGACACAGCGGTGTGGGACCTTCAGCTGGTTTACATGAAGTTTAGTTTTAGTATGGGTCTCTGTGTGTCTCTATGAGGGTGTGTGTCTCTGTGGGTCTCTATGAGTGTGTGTCTCTGTGGGTCTCTATGAGTGTGGGTCTCTGTGGGTCTCTATGAGTCACTATGTATCTCTATAGGTGTCTATGTATCTCTATAGGTGTCTATGTGTCTCTATGGTGTCTCTATGTATCTCTATTTGACTGCTGCTATGAATCTCCACGTGATGATGATGACGCTGACAAGTCACGTGGTAGAGCTGCTCTCATTTGTCATGGTCAGGGTCAGGCCTGCTGAACAAAGAGCGACACAGCGGTGGGGACTTTCAGCTGATACAACAATAATAATAATAATAGTTTATAGTTGAGTCTATGGGTCTCTGGGTCTCTATGTGTCTCTATGGATCTCTATGTGTCTCTATGGGTCTCTGTATCTCTGTCTCTCTATGGGTCCCTATGTGTCTCTATGTATCTCTATGGATCTCTATGGATCTCTGTGTGTATCTATGGGTCCCTATGTATCTCTGTGTGTCTCTATGTGTCTCTATGTGTCTATGGGTCTCTATGTGTCTCTATGGGTCTCTATGTGTCTCTATGTATCTCTATGTGCCTTTATGTCTCTCTATGGGTCTCGATGTATCTCTATGGGTATCCATGTGTCTCTATGTGTCTCTATGTGTCTCTATGGGTCTCTATGTGTCTCTATGGGTCACTATGTATCTCTATGTGTCTATATGTATCTCTATAGGTGTTTATGTATCTCTATGTGTCTCTATGTATCTCTATAGGTGTCTATGTGTCTCTATGGTGTCTATGTGTCTCTATGGTGTCTCTATGTATCTCTATTTGACTGCTGCTATGAATCTCCACGTGATGATGATGATGCTGACAAGTCACGTGGTAGAGCTGCTGTAATTTGTCATGGCCAGGGTCAGGCCTTCTGAACAAAGAGCCACACATCAACTCAGTGGGGACTTACAGCTGGTGACATAAAAATAAACAATTGTCGTTTAATAGCAGTAACAGTGGAATGTGTGAGTGGGTGAGTGTGTGAATGTGTGTGTGGGTGAGTGTGTGTGTGAATGTGTGGGTGAGTGTGTGAATGTGTGGGTGAGTGTGTGAATGGATGGGTGTGTGAGTGTGTGAGTGGGTGGGTGAGTGTGTGAGTGGGTGGGTGTGTGAGTGTGTGAGTGTGTGAATGTGTGGGTGAGTGTGTGAGTGGATGGGTGTGTGAGTGTGTGAGTGGGTGAGTGTGTGTATGTTTGAGTCTGTGAGTGGATGGGTGTGTGAGTGTGTGAGTGGGTGAGTGTGTGAATGTTTGAGTCTGTGAGTGGATGGGTGTGTGAGTGTGTGAGTGGGTGAGTGTGTGAATGTTTGAGTCTGTGAGTGGGTGAGTGTGTGAATGTGTGTGTGTGAAGGCTTCACGAACTACGTGGTCAAAATAGATGTTAAATAATGTGGGAGCCAGAGGACATCCCTGTCGCACCCCAAGGTGTACAGGGAATGGCTCTGACTCCCGGCCACGTAGTTTTACCTGGGCCCGCTCACCATCATAAAGGTCCTTAATGATCGTGAGCAGAGGGTCAGGGACTCTGAAAGCACGAAGAGCAACCCAGAGCCCAGGCCTACTGATGGTATCATAGGCCTTGACCAGGTCAATAAAGCAGAGATGTAGGTCTTGCTGGAAATCGCTACACTTCTGCTGTAGCAGACAGACAGAAAATATGGCATCTGTGCACGACCGCCCTTTCCTGAAACCGCATTGGGGCTACACAAGCCTCGCCTCAGCGTGCCTGGCAAGGCGATGTTGAATAATCCTTTCCAGGACCTTTCCCGGCACACTGAGGAGTGAGATGCCCCCATAGTTGTTATGATGTCATGTAGGACAGTCTGTGCACAAACGCCACCCACCCACTGACCCAATCACTCACACACCCACCTACTCACCCACCAACTCACCCACTCACCCACCAACTCACCCACACACCCACTCACCCACCAACTCACCCACTCACCCACCAACTCACCCACTCACCCACTCACCCACCAACTCACCCACCAACTCACCCACTCACCCACCAACTCACCCACACACACACTCACCCACCAACTCACCCACTCACCCACCAACTCACCCACCCACCCACCAACTCACCCACACACCCATCAACTCACCCACACACCTACTCACCCACAAACTCACCCACCAACTCACCCACCCACTCACCCACCAACTCACCCACTCACTCACACACCCACCCACCCACCAACTCACCCACCCACCCACCAACTCACCCACACACCCATCAACTCACTCACCCACCAACACACCCACTTACCCACCAACTCACCCACCCACCCTCTCCCCACTCACTCCACCCACACCCTCCCCCCCCACCCTCTCCCCACCCACCCACCTTCTCACCCACCCACCTTCTCACCCACCCACCCACCCACCCCACCCAGGTGCCGTGCGGGCTACGGGGGTCTCCGCTGTGAGCGCCCAGACCCTCCCTGTGCAGCTCCCGGCCGCTGCCTCAACGGCGGCAGCTGCCAGGAGCCTCCCGCCCAGGCACCACCACCACTACCAGCACCACCACTACCAGCACCACCAGCACCAGCAGCACTACCAGTAGCACCAGCACCACCAGCAGCAGCAAGGCGCGGTGGAGAACTCCCGGAGGCGGAGGGCGACTGCCTCTGCCCTGCCGGCTTCACGGGCAGGACGTGCGGCATCGCCCTTGCACTGCCGCCGCCGCTCGGTGATGGAGGTGGTGGCGGTGGTGGCGGTGGTGGTGGTGGTGGTGGAGGTGATGGAGGAGGAGGAGGAGGAGGCGGTGGAGGAGGAGGAGGAGGAGCAGGAGGAGGAGGAGGAGGAGGTGATGGAGGAGGAGGAGTAGGAGGAGGAGGTGGCAGAGGAGGAGGAGGAGGAGGAGGTGGAGGAGGAAGAGGAGGAGGAGGA